CTACAGATAACTGACAGCCATTTAGCTCTGAGTACTAGGCTACAAATAACTGTCGGCCATTTAGCTCTATGAATACCTAGGCTACAGATAACTGACATTCATTTAGCACTATGAGTACCTAGGCTACAAATACTGTCAGCCATTCAGCTTCATGAATACCTAGGCTACAGATAACTGACACTCATTTAGCTCTATGAGTACCTAGGCTACAGATAACTGACAGCCATTTAGCTCTATGAGTACCTAGGCTACAAATAACTGTCGGCCATTTAGCTCTATGAATACCTAGGCTACAGATAACTGACATTCATTTAGCACTATGAGTACCTAGGCTACAAATACTGTCAGCCATTCAGCTCTATGAATACCTAGGCTACAGATAACTGACAGCCATTCAGCTCTATGAATACCTTGGCTACAGATAACTGACAGCCATTTAGCTCTATGAATATCTAGGCTACAGATAACAGACAGTCATTTAGCTCTATGAATACCTGGGCTCAACAAATGACTGGGCTCCTAAAAGTTACAGTCGTTTGGCTCAATGAACAACCAGGCTACAGACAACTGACATTTGCTTGGCTCAATGAATAACTGGGCTACAGATAAGTGACAGTCATTTGTAGATTATGGAAATCAACCAGTGGTCTTTAAAATTGATTGAATTGTACATTTATCTGTTATCTCCATATTTCAGAGCATCATGATGAAGAAAGCAGGAATGGAGAGGTATTTACTTTAAATTTATTCAGTGTTTTAAGGTAATATGGTTCTTAAAATAAATGGAAAATTCATATAATTTTTTTTTTGGGCAAAATTTAAACATACTGCTAGTCTTTTTGAGAGGCACCAACCTGCAAATATTACATGTTATATACAGCATGTTTCTCGCTTACAGATCTCCAGTGAGAGCTCATCAGATACTGATACCGAGACAAGAATTAAACAACATTTAATTGAGAAACCCAAACAGGAGTTCAAGAATCGGAAAAGGAAGATGAGTTGCGGACAATTAATTGCTGGTTAGTATTTCTTCTTTAATTTTTTCCCAGAATTTCTAGTATTGCCGAACTGTGTGTAAAAGTGAAAACTTGATGACTACTGTTGCACTCTGAATATTAGCTTTGCCTACCTTCAGTAGGAAAGAAAATACTTGAACACAAGAATCACAGTGTGGTTTTAGTACTTTGGTATCGCAAATTTTTTTTGAATCTTTACTCCTGGCTCTTCTATTGGAATGGGTTTATCATTATCTCAAAAAGTCCTCTAGTGGTGGAGTTCTGCTATCTTCTTGTGTCTCTGCTATACAGAGAGCGACTCCACTAACCCACAGGTGAAACTGAAAGACCAATTAAAAAACCTGATTTCATTCAAAAATATACCTTTGCGTGTATTGTTATCAAAACAACATTTTTTAAAAATTTCTACTTATCTACTAAATTTCTATGTTGCAAAACTCTAATTTAATTTAAACTTCAAGTGCTTTCCATTTACTGCATTGTAAAGATTATAATCAATATTTGTGTTTTTATTTTTAAATTAGAACTACTCTTGACACAGCAGGATCAAGACCAAGTTAGGGAAAATATTAAATCTGTGATGGAAAAACAGGTAAACTTTTTTAAACTTTATTTTATCACTCATTACCTAAATGTTTTAAATTCAGTTCTCGTCTCATTTTTTGTTTTCAATTAGAATGTTTCCGTGCCTTGATAATAACAGGTTAACAAATACCAATCATAATACCAACCGCCCACTATCATACTGTCTCCTGTATACACCAAAGCAATTGTCAAACATGGTTTTTGAAATAGACGATAAATATACTGTCTGTTAACAGCTAAGACAATATGGGCTTGTTAATAATGTAATTGATAAGTATATATATATATATATATATAACATGACGATAAAGTACCGGTATTAGAAATAGACTTTAGATTTACTTTCGGTGATATTGATATGATGATAATAAATACGCTGTCGATTAACAATGCAAAAGACATGTGAATGCATGGCAGAAAATGTTCATTACCATACAGCAATTTCATTTAGTGTTAAACACTCAGGAGCTCTACAGGAAATTGCTATCACGAACTAATCTTGATGAGAAGTTTGAGTGCTTCACTGTTATATGATGTTCCACTAAATACTCGATCACAAATGAATCACCTGAAGTTTCAGACCTAGAGATCACAAGGACTTAAATTTCAAATATCCTTTAATCAATACACAAGACAATACAGGTTTATTGGCCAAATCTATGTCACTGAAATATGAATATGAATATTTTTTGCTTATGTATGCATGATTATTTAAAACACAGACCCCTCCAAGTAAACCAGCCAAGCTTATCAGTAGACAACGCAAGTTTGGATCCATAGTCGCTCCAAATATATTGCCACCAATAATGGATGAGAAACCAACACCACCGATGCCACGGAAGAATATTGAGAGGACTGACAGTGGTCTTGGGATGGAGAATGGTGAATCGTTTAAGAATGTGCTACTCGAAAGCACTATTAGTTGTGAAGATTGCAGCTCTGATGTTGTAGTGGTTGGAGAACAGTAAGTTTGTATTTTTTAGTATCTTATCCTTCTTCAGCTCTGCTGTTGAGCAGAGCTAAGCATTTTACTGATTGTCTGCGTCTGCATCAACTTTTTACTTTTTCAACTTTTTTGAAAACTGCACATCTGATTGCTTTTGTATGGTAAATACAATACAATATATCTTAGATACCTCTCTTAGATTGTTCATTTTGGGATGATATTTTTAATTCTCTAATTTTAATGAAAATCTTTTGTCATTTTTGGTAAAAAGTTTCGCATTTTTGGTAAAAATTACAAACCTAATTACTTTGTAAATGAAAAACATATGGAACTATCTCAGTATATTAATTTTCTGATGATACCTTAAAATCTCTAATTGAACTGTCCATTACTAACAGCGTGCTATCTCAGTCGAGAGGCTACAATCATGTCTTTGAGATTCAGTACATACCATACATGCTATGATTCCACACACTTTGTGCGGTTACCAATACAAATTTATCATTGAAATCTAACTTTTTAAATTCTGTAATTCTTTTAACCAAAATTGAAATGCAACATTTTGCACATCTGTCCTCACATTTTTCTATAATTTCTATGTTGACCCTTTGAGTGTCATTGTCAACTTCTGTTATCATCCACTGTAAATTTGTGCATATCTTATACACCGTAAAAACTCTTAAATTTTGAACACTTTTAAATAATTTGCTTTGGAAAATGGTTAGGTTTTTAAAATACAAAATAACGATAAATTTTCAGCCAGTCATATTCAACAAATATAAAATACAGTTGCATTGCAAATTAAACCTCAAACAAAATTACACACACTTTCCTGTGTCAACATAGAGGGTCACGTCTCTAAAAAAATTTTTTAGGTAAAAATATGTGAGCAATTTCTGGTGAGGTTGAAGTTTTGGAGGTAAATAAATGACAAAAATTCGTCAATTAATTAGGTGGCTGAATTTTTAGAGTAGGTGAAATTTGAGTTTTTACAGTAATATGCCAAACTTATTTGCAAATCAAATTAGCCAAATACGTTTCTCGCCCAATGAAAAAACATTTTTCTTGTGGTAATACTTTAAAATATGTTTTTATTTTTGTTGACAGAATCATGGGTGGTGATAATACCGTCTGTAACAAATGTAAAAAAAGAAGACTAGAGCGGAAAGAGACAATATTGGAGATTGTGCAGACTGAGATTAGTTATGGAGATGACTTAAAAGTAATACAAGATCAGTTTTTTATACCAATGAAATCAAATGGTTTATTAACTGATGACCAGTTAGACTGTGTTTTCTTAAATTTAGAGGTGAGCAGGTTGATTTTGTATTTGACTTTTTCTTTGACATTTCATTTATGAATATGGTTACAATAACTGTAATATCTTTATTAGCTCTGCTGTCGACTTTGTTGAGCGAAGCTTATCATGCGAGTGATTGTCCGTCGTTGTCTGTGTCAACTTTTTACTTTTTCGACTTCTTCTTGAAAACTACAAATCTGATTGCTTTGATACTTGGGTGGTCCTCTCTAAAAAAAAATTATTTCGTAATGGTATCTTTAATTCTCTAATTTTGGTTAATATTTTTGTCATTTTTGGGAAAAAGTGATATTTTCAACTTCTTGTTGAAAACTGCAAGTCTGATTAATTTGATCTCGTACATATAGGTACTACAGGTTGACCTCTGGGATTTGTTTATTTTGTGATGGTATCCTCAATTCTCTAATTCAGATGAATATTTTTGTCATTTTTGGGAAAAAGTGATATTTTCAACTTCTTGTTGAAAACTGCAAGTCTGATTGCATTGATATTATACATGTAGTTATCTCAGGTGGATGTCTCTCAGATTTGCTCATTTAATTATGATATCTTCAATTCTCTAATTGAAATGTACATTGCTATAACAGCTTAGCTATCTCAGCCGAAGGGTTGCTTGTAATACTATCATTAATTATCATTAATTATCATTAATTATCATTAATTACAGGAACTAATCAAGTGCAATGACAAATTAGCTGATATTTTACAAGATGCAATGGATGATGCAGCTGAAGATGGTGATGAGGTAAGAATTTTATTTTCAAAAATACAAATATTGTGAATATATTTCCAACAAAAAGTGAGGAATTGGAGATGAGCATACTGTATTGAAAAACACTTAAAAAACAACATGCCATTTTAGCAAATTTGGTTCAATGTGTGTGAGAATAAACTTTCTTTTAAATTACTTTCTAATTTAATTAGCGGAATTACAGATTATCCAAATTAGTTAAAAACATCATTCTGGCTGGCTTCATCAGTTGGCTTTGAATTAAATCTGACAGTTGTATTTTTTATTTGTCTTGCCTTTCATTCAGTGTTAAATATGACATTTAGGTGCTTGAAGGCATAGTCACTTTACCTTTTTGAAATGCTATAATTTTTCTTGCTATAATTTTGGTACAGCATTTTACTGATTTTTGTTTAATTTCGTTGTTAATTTTGGACAGAATAAACATTTTCCATTGCTTAAAAGTCTTATTTACTTTTCGGGTAAAAAAAAACATCGCAAAAACTATGTGCATTTATTTTGTAAATTATGAAGTTTACATTGGCACTCAAAAGGTCAGTAGAGCGAATTACAAATTTCTATTTCATTTAAAATGATTTACTTTTCATATAAATATGTATTTTTTTCAGGATTCTGTTACAATGTCATTTGGTCATATTTTTTTAGAAAACATTCACTTTTCATGTAAATGTATCTTTTTTTTTCAGGATTACGTCACAATGTCGGTTGGTCATATTTTTTTAGAAAACATTCACTTTTCATGTAAATGTATCTTTTTTTTTCAGGATTACGTCACAATGTCGGTTGGTCATATTTTTTTAGAAAACATCAATCTCTTTTTACCATTTGAAGAATTTTGTATCAATCAGGTAAGGCTTCTTTTTGATCCATTGGAAAATGATGCAGATTATTTTTTTTTAAATATCGCAACAACAAAATCTATATCAGATCATAGACCCTCTGATAAATTATAATAAATTATAATACTTTTGAATACAAACATTGAATACTGATTTAGTTAGACTGTTGTAGGTAGATGTGGTACTTCACAAAAATCAAAACCTATTTTTTTGGCCTCGTGCACCATTTTTATTTTGTTTTATGAAAGCCTGATAATTCTAGGATCTTGGGCGTCATGCTATGAATGTCCAGTTGTTATCATATGATTACCGGTATTTATGAAAACAAGTAGATTGGTTCAATATTGCTGTGAATTTGATGTGAACACTTATAAAAATTATTAAAAAATAATCCTGACCCACTTTCTCATGTGCACTACATTAGAAAAGGAAATGTGATGAAACTGGGGTGAACAAATATCAAGAATTATAATCCCTGTAATCGTCATAGATAAAGTGGGTGTCATTGATATTGACAAGCAATTTGTTTCAATTCACCAGGCTGTGGCATCTGCATTATTGACATCTTTAGAAGCTGAGAAGAGCTTACTCAGACTATTTTTACAAGTATCGCAGCAAGAGAATATAGAACTACGTAAACTACATCTCAAATCATTCTTAATGGGACCAGTGCAAAGAGTAATGAAGTAAGAAACAAATACACATGCAGAACTTTCTCGTTATTTGTGTGCTCAACAGAAAGAGAAGTTTAAAACAGATTCCACATGTACAACTGTAATATTTGTATAAATGCCGCTCAGTTTTATACATGAAGTTTACACATGAAAACAATTCACTTCAATAATTAACACAATGCACTTCAATAATTAACAAAATGCACTTCAATAATTAACAAAATGCAGCTGAATTTTGGTGATCATTAATAAATTTTAATAACATTATTAAAGTTTTTAATACTCAGAAAACTATTAATTAAAAACAAAAGGAATACATTTGATTATACATGTCATTTGGTTGAATTATTCTAGAGCACCTACAAAACAAGTTTAATTTAATTCAGATTTTTTCAGATATCTGATATTAATTTATGTAAACTAGGTAATCAGTTTCTACCCTAAACTTTGAATTAGTCCCCCTCCAAAGTACCGGTACTTACTATGTTCTTTGAAGTTGTTCTTGAAATATCTATGGAAAAGCTAAACATAGGCTAATTACCGGTAATCCAAATTAGGCAATTAATTCACACAGATTTCAATCAAGAACTAAACTTGCCTGTGTAAAAATTTTCATTGAAATGTGATGATTGATATTTCGGTTGAAAGGTTAAAAATTTGCTAATTATGCAAATTAGGTAATTAAATTTAAATTCAAAACTTATCAGCCTTTTGCATTGTTCTCATGCACCTACATACCAAATTTCATCTAAATGCAAAGATTAGTACTTGAATATGATAAATATCCTAAAAAAGCGGAAATACTATTATGCAAATTAGGTAATTGATATGCATGGATTTTAACTGCAACTAATTAGGTCTTTGCATTGTCAGTTTCATTGAAATGTGGTGATTAGAACTGAGATATCAGTAGAGAAGCTGGAAATTAGAGAATTTATATTAATTGATTTTCACCAAAATTTAATCAAGTCTTATTGTTCCAGAGCATTTATGTACAAGTTTCATTGAAATTTAAGAAATCGGTGGAAAATCCAAAAATTCACTAGTTAATAAACAAATTAAGTAATTATTATGCACAGATTTTACCCCAAACTAATTGGATCTGTACATTGTCTTTAAGGTAGAGATGCAGGTTCGTGGGCATTGGGAGTGAAATTTTTTTGGCTATAGACTGTTGAAATTTTGTAGAATTGTGAATAGTGGAACATACTCAAAAAACGATTTTAAAATATAGATAACAGGTGCAAACATTCTCTCTTTTGAATGCTTAGCAAGATTTAGCATGGCTGTACATAAATACTAAAAAAGAAAAATATGGTGAAAAAAAGAAATGACGGGATTTCCATATTATGCACTATATTTAACTTTTAACAAAACGATAATACATTTAAATTTGGAACTTTTACAGCCATTTTAATTATGAGCATTAGCAAACTTCTTACTGAGTAAATTGTTATGCAAATTAGCAAATATCTCAGCTTCTTTTTAGTGCACATCCCAAAACTTCAAAAAAAAATAGCTCCTAAACACTTTGACCTTTTGTTTTGAAATTTTCACAAATGATTGACAATGTGTTTACAAAACACTGTCGGGGCATTGTTTTTGGTTGAACAGTGTTACAACAATCGTACAGACAACTAGCCTGGGTGTTAGTTTATGCATAAACTTGAAGTAGTGAAATTTGGGCTGCTGCCCTGCAAAATTGACAACTGGTAAACAGATTTCAAGACGGCACTTTCTTCATAGTAAACAGATGTACCCATAAACCAATTTTGACAGGAAACAGAAGCATGGCTAATTTTTTTTAAATCACTTTTGACCAAAAAAGCACATTTTTGTGTCCATAAAAGAAAAATACTAACAAAATTTTAAAATTCATACAATAAGCTTTCCGAAAATATATAGTTTTGTGGACAAGGGAGGTCATCTTGGTTTCCTAATTAACTATAGTAATTAAAATACCTGTCAGGTAAACTGCATCTCTACCTTAATAGAGCATAAATGTACAAAGTATCATTGACATACAATTATTGCTTTTTGAGATAATGATGAATCAGACAGACAGACATACATACATACAGACAGTGTAACCACTCAGACTCCCATTATGTGCTTTGCACACATGAGTTAAGTACAACAAAGGTTACCAATCTGCATCTGCATAGGATTCTTGTATTCATAATTTATTCAACATTTTCCAAAGCTTGGTTTTTAACAACTAAGTTTGTGTTAATAGGTATCCTCTACTTCTAAGTCGATTATACAAAACAACGCCTGAAGGTCACGAAGATCTACCTAAAATAAAAGAAGCTCAGCAGAAAATAGAAGTAATATTAGACAATATAAATAAGGTAGGGAGTATGAAAATACCTTGTTTTTTTTTCTTTCTTTAAGAAGTTAATTGCTCTTGTATTGAATGATTGTTCGACCTAAGCGGGTTCCGATGAATGCAACTGTGTAGATCACTCTGCAATCACATTGTTGCTGTGGTAAACTTGGTAGAAATACTTGGATTTTTGTATGGCAATGGCAATGACTGAACAATAAGATTCATTTGATTTTCTTTTTTGAACCAATGGGAACCAATCAGAATGCTTCTTACATAAAGCACCGTACTCAAACACCTGGAGAAGCACTATGGCCCAAACTGTGACCTGTTAGTTACCCGATTGCCGATTGGCCAATTTAAAAAATGTAACATTTATGAATAATTCATTATCTTGTTATAAATCCTAAATCGATGAGTAAAGTGTGCCAGAGATTTTTTTTTTGGTCCATGGGAAAAACTTACTCCTTCCCTTATGATGTGCAAACACAAAGTATTAGCAATATTCTGCCAGAGATTTATTTTTGTATTAATACAGAGGTGCAACATTTAGTGATTTAATCATACCTGTACAACAAATGTGATTTTTTGTTTATATGTGTTTCTTTTGAAAATGCGCTTCTAATAGAGCAAATACGGCACATGTTTTGATATTCATTTATCCTTCTCTATCTTTTATGTGGGACATATGCACATGCAGTGGTTTGGCGATTCGATTCAAAATGGCCGACTGGCAGCCATCTTGTTTTTTGAAAATGTCATATTTTGGACATGCTTTGTCAGTTTTCATTCAAATTTAGTACATAGATCATACATGTTAGGATGCATGTCCCCGACCGTTTGTGAGTCCCTGAGTCTGTCTGTCCGTTCGTGCATCAGTCTGTCCAGAGTCATATTTCAGAATCCTGTGGACCGATTCTGTTCATTCTTTGCATGTGCCTAGTACCTTATGTGGGACATATACACATGCAGTGGTTTAGCGATTCGATTCAAAATGGCCGAGCGGCAGCCATCTTGTTGTTTGAAAATGTTGTATTTTGGACATGCTTTGTCAGTTTTCATTCAAAATTGGTACATAGATTATACATGTTAGGATACATGTCCATGATGATTTATTTCGCAATTGGATCAAAGATGGTCGACTGGCAGACATCTTTTTTTTTTACCGCATCTTGGACGTGCTCTGTCAGTTTAAATTCAAATTTGGCACATACATGTACTTTATACATGTTAGAGGGCATGTCCATGACAATTTGTGTCAAAATCTGGTCAAGGATGGCCGATTGACAGCCATCTGACTTTTTGGCCTTACTACTACATTTCCACAATTTATGTACAATTTTCATTCGTATTTTGCACATATATCATACATATCAGTGTGTTTCATAATCAGATCAAAGATGACCGAATAATGGCTGTTTTTATTTTTGGCCATATTACTACTACATGGAACACTTGTTTTGATGTAAATAAACAATCTGTTGTATACGCCACTTGGAACTCAAGTTTCAAGGACACGCTCGCGACAACCCCAACTTTCAAAAATTTTAAGGGGACTGTGTCATTTTCAATGACTTCTTTCTTTATATATCAAACTAAAAATGTCAATTTTTCTACATAATTGTAATGAAACTCTATCTTTATCTTATTCATGTTAGAAAGGCGTCTTTCATAATGATATTGTGTGTCACTGTAATGAACATATAAGCTATTGAAAAATACTTTTTACCTGAGATATATCATCATAGTCTCAATGTTTTTTGCTTGTAGAAATCTAAGACTGTTCCAGTGCTTGGAAAAGTGAAGCCTAAATTACAGAAGAGAGGCTTCTCATCATTTTTACTGCCTTTTAATACCAGTGTGACTGAGTTGAAAAAGGTAAGTTGGGTGAAAATGGGTGTTATATTGTTTATACTGTGTACCATGAGGAGAAGACTGGGGTATGCTGGGTTCAATATGGGATGCATAGGTTAACTCAAAAGTGATATTTGGAGAACACACAATCTTTGATATCCGTCATATAACATCAGATATTCATTGGCTCTTTCTTTCTCAGGAGATTTGACAACTTGGCAACTGCATAATGTTATTTTAACATCTGGATATATGACGTTTCCTTTACTCCTGGTTGTCTTCTTTTTGATTAGTAGTAAAGCTGGATAATTTGTCTTTGTAGTGAAATTGTTGAATTATCATGTTTTGTTATTTTATTGTTTGCTTTTCGCTTTTTTCTTCAGTTATCATTGGATACCTTGGGTTGGAAAAAAGACGAAGTCAAGTTTCTCAAGAGTTCTCGTCTACAATGTGCACAGCCAACAGATCAATTATGGGGCAGAGTTAAAAAAACAGATTTGCAGTTTAAAGCCGTTCATGTGCTTCTCGTATTACATGGAGAGGTAAGAAGGCATCACATACACATGTATGGTTGCTGTATTAATCATAATGACTTGTGTCATGACATTATCACCTCATGAATATTCATAATGACTTGTATTATGACATTATTACCTCATGAATATTCATGATGACTTGTGTTATGACATTACCTCATGAATATTCATGATGACTTGTGATATGACATCACCTCATGAATATTCATAATGACTTGTATTATGACATTACCTCATGAATATTCATGATGACTTGTGTTATGACATCATAACCTCATGAATATTCATAATGACTTGTATTATGACATTACCTCATGAATATTCATGACTTGTGATATGACATTATCACCTCATGAATATTCATAATGACTTGTATTATGACATTATTCCATCATGAATAGTTATAATGACTTGTGTTATGACATCATCACCTCATGAATATTCATAATGACTTGTATCTGCATGATAATTAGATAATTTGGATTTTGATGAACCTTGGTACATAGATGCTCTGGGACAATGTGCAGACCTAATTAGTTTTGGGTAAAAATTTGTGAATATATATTACCTAATCTGCATAATGATTAGTCAATTTTTTGATCTCGTGCACTAATCAATCACATTACAATGAAACCTGAAACATATAATACTTGTAATCTTATTTTATTGAATCTTAATCTTAGATATTGCAATGATCTAATGTTTTGGTTTTAATTAAATTCATAATAATTAGCCAAATTTTAAGCATTTTACCTTGTTTTTCATGTACTATTCAACATATTTCAATGAAACTCAGTACACAGTGCACAGACTTGATCAGTTTTGGTTGAAGTTCAGTGCATGTTAATTACCTATTTTGCTTACTAGTTAGCCAATTTTAAGATTTCAATGAATCTTAATACACAGATGCGCCAGGATAATACGCAATCCTGATTAGTTTTTGGTTGAGATCAATATGATATGACTATAATGTTTCAGATGACTATATATTGTCATGTGACCTCAATATTGGGCATAACTATAATATCTTAAGTACTGTTGTAGATAGAAGGCATGCATTTTTTTTGTTTTTTATGCGGTATCTTGGACGTGCTCTGTCAGTTTTCATTCAAATTTGGCATATACATGTACTTTATACATGTTAGGATGCATGTCCATGACAATTTGTTTCAAAATCTGGTCAAGGATGGCCGATTGACAGCCATCTGACTTTTTGGCCTTACTACTATATTTCCACAATTTATGTACCATTTTCATTCATAATTGGCACATACATCATACATATCAGTGTGTTTTCATAATCAGATCAAAGATGGTCAAATAACGGCTGTTTTTATTTTTGGCCATATGACAACTACAAGGAACAAGTGTTTTGATGTAAATAAACAATCTGTTGTATACGCCACTTGGAACTCAAGTTTCAAGGACACGCTCATGACAACCCCTCTGCTTTAATATGAAGAGCACAAAGAGAACTTTCAAAAATTTAATGGAGACTGTGTCATTTTCAATGACTTGTTAGTGCAGTATTTGCTCTAATAGAAGCAAATGTGCTAAGTGTAAATAGTAAATACAGTATTCCTTTTTTGTACATGCCTGCAATACATTCAGCACACAGAAATAATTACATAAATCAACTAAAGCTAAGAAAGAATTTTTATTAAAAATAACTGTACAAAACTATTTTTCATATGAAATTGAAAATATGTTTTCTGTACATGAGCTATTAAAAAAGCAGATGCATTTTTACTCAACTTTAAAACAAACTGAAGTTAACTAAATTATTTTCAGGAAATTAGTAATTACCAATGTGATGATGAATCAGATGAGGAGAGCAAAAGACCTGCGTTTCCTGGCAACACAGTTGTTAAACAAGCTGCCTTAGTCATATATAAAGATAGAACCAATGAGAAGTTCTTATTATACAGGGTAAGACATTGTGATTTCTCAACAAATTCTTAACGTGGAGTTTTTCATGAATTAAAGACTGATAGTTCCCTATTGTTAAAGATCTTATACATGACCTCTAAAGGTCACACATCCTGGTTCTTTCTTGGGGTATTATTGATGTATAACTGCTACAATTGTATGTCAATATTGTATGTTATTTTTTGCCATATTTAGCTGTTTTTTTGAATGACAACTGCTTGCATTTTTGGTGGAAATAGTTGAGAAATCTTTATTGAAAGTGAATTTGTACCCCCAGAAAGTACCAGGATGTATGACCTTCAGGGGGTCGTGCTTAATGCCTGCATACAGGTAAAGGCACCACTGTATATTGTGTCATTTTTTTTCAGTGTCAGGTCACATTATCTGATCAGTGAATATTTGGTTTATTTCTTTCAACAGAATCCACTTCTGCTGGACAGATGTGTTGTTTCTTCTGAGATTGGAACTGATGAAATGTTTGAAGTTGTGGATATGACTTCCAATGATGTATTGGTGTTCAAGGTAAAATATTTAACTGTTCTATGAACTAAGGATCTTTAAAGGGTGGTGTTCATTGTGCCTGGCATGTGCGACATTTGTGTTGATTTTCCCACAAACCAATGCTTCCGTCTAATGGAAATCACAAGTAGGAGTTTTGACCTGGGTGCGACATGCACTGATTTCTGGAAATGAATTCCATCTCTGTTCATATGAGACCTATATCTCTGGCATGCAAGGCTCGATGACCACCAATTGTAATTCAATGGTATATGCAAGGAAAATGTCTGTCCTTGTTGTCGTAAAACTTTTTCTTGTGCTTACAATAATATTACATGTTTTTCAGACTTGGATATTATAACAAATTTGGGATCTTGGCCAGGCTCTATGTATATTTTTTATAATATTTATTAAATTTCACTTAAAATAATCTTCTTCTTGTAGTTACCAAGTTCAAACTAGCAAGTACAATTTTCAAAATATGGGGTAAAATTCGACTAAAATAAAAAAAAACATTTTTGACATAGAAATAAGTGGACAGAATGACATTCATACTTCTAAGAATTATATAGTAGTAAACCAATATGTTATTTTCATTTCAAGCATAAAAAAAGTTTTAAATCTGGCTCGTATTTTATTTTGGTTAAATATACTATTGCACTATTATTTGGGAACTTTTTTACAATTCCTGCTATACTATTTTATAAGACACATTGAGATTAATACAGTATATGTAATATTCATTAGAGAACACATTGGCTAGTATTTTTTCTTGTCAAATTTGACTTAGATAAATTACTGTATTATTATTTTAGAAAGTTTTATACATGTTACGATATTCTACAAGGGACATTGAGATTATTACAGTGCATGTAGTATTATTTGAGGAACATGAATATTAATTATTTTTTCATGTATTTATGTAAATTTTGTAATTTATAATTAATACTTACTATAGATAATATATTATTGCATTTTTTCAGGACTTTTATACTCACTTTCGCCAGGCAAAGAAAAGATAATGCATCATTAGTTTGTATCCATCGATACATTTGTTATTAGGTTCTCAATGGACAAGGTTTTCAAAATTATGCTTTCTTTTTTCAGACTGATGGTGCTAAGGAATCTCAACTTTGGCTTCGGTTAATTAAAAATCAAGCCAAAAATCTAGGTCACTGGAGAAGGAGAAGAAATGCTATGGCGAACATTATGATTACTAGTATGTCAAGATCATAGAAAAATGTCACCATATATGTTATATAACTTAGGGATAGGCGTATGCCCGCACATCCCCTGCAAAAAACCCCAAAAAAACGAAAATTCACGAAAATTGACAAGACGCAGATCGAACTGCGACAGGGGATAGAATGGCAAAATAAAACCATGCAACGGAAATAAATGAACAATATGCAACATTAGAAGTACCGGTATAACAAAAATAATTTATTGCTTATAATGTGACAAATAAACCAGAGACAATAAAAATCGACAGTGAGGAATCATTTAAATAAAGATTTTCCCACCACAAACACACCAACTACGCATATGGTATATTTATGCTAATTAAGGATGACCTCATATGGCAATTATCAAACAAGATTACTTGAATGTCAAGATAATAGCACAGGAAGACCATATATGGTATATTTATGCTAATTAAAGATGACCTAATGTGGCAAAATCAAACATTGTGTCCATATATGGTATATTTATGCTAATTAAGGATGACCTAATATGGCAAAGTAAAACAGGATGTCATGGTCGTAGTGCAGGGAGACCATATATGGTACATTTACCCGGTATGCTAATTAAGGATGAGCTAAAATAGCCAACAAATGTCAACAATATAGTATGACTTGCTTTTAAAGGGCTACAGCATGA